CATATTTTTAATATCGTTAATGATATTTGGCAAGTATACTGTCTGTCTTGCACGGCGTTTTGTTTTCTCTATGCCCTGATGAGAATCGTGAAGTCTTTCTAACACCATTTTACTTAAAGACACAGGTATGATAATTTGGCATCCTTTCAGGACAAAACCATTATTATAACTTAGCTGATTTCGAGTATTCCAAAATGGCCTAAGCGAAAAGTCAAGCTGGTCCTTCTGATCTGGAAAACCTTTTTTTTATTGCCGCAATTAACTTCTGGTATGCGTCTTCTTTAGTTGCTGATTCTTTCAAGAATTACAACAACGAATCTTGGAGATGTGAAGTCCTAGATACTTCTTTAGTATTATCTATTAATGCCACTTGTTGTAAGACAAAAGAATTAACATGAACTGTAGAATCTTCTCCGAATAGTTCATCTTCATTAGGTGTATTTACAGGAGCTCGAGACAGCGCGTCTGAAATCAAGTGATTTAGTCCTATTGTCCATTCTACTGTAAAATTATACCCACATAATTTTTCCTTAAGTCTTTGAATTCTGGGACTTTCTATTATGTCTAACGTATAGGAATTCTGAATTGGATCCAATGGCTCGTGGTCAGTAACTACCTTGAATTCATTTAAGCCTAGTAAATACAATCGACATTTTTTATAGCCCAAACTATTGCTAGTAATTCGATCTCTATCATTGCGTATCTCGTATCAGTATCAGATAAAAATCGGAAACCGCATTGTACCAATTTCCAGATGTCTCTATGTCTCTGTATGCAAAGCGGTTGATAATGTTGGATTAAAGGCAGCTAGTATTGGTGGCTTTATAAGAGCTTTTCTAACTTTAATAAATGCTTGATCATGTTTTAGACACCAAGTATATTGATTTCTTATTTTTAATAAATCTCTCAAAGGACCTGCAGCTGCACTGATTTCGGAAGAAAAGCTTCCAAGCTGATTGACCATGCCCATAAATGATCGAAGTTCTTTCAGACACGTAGGTTTCGGGTATTTTTGGATTGCTTCATTCTCTCCTATTATATAACCAACGTATTCAATTTTAGATTTTCCAAAGACGAACTTATTTGGATTTAATGTAATTCCGTTAAGTCTACATTTTTCTGATAGCTTGATTATTCTTTTAAAATGATTTGGAAAAGTGTCATCGTATACTAATATGCACATACTTTGATTTTCTTTTACTATACGGAGAATGGTCGCAATGCGCAGCTTTCTGAGTGCCTTTTAAAAGGAGATAAAAACTCCGCCATTTTGGACCCTTATTACGTGTTGCCTACATCTTGGCGCAATATTTTTAATAGGTGCGTTTTAATCATCCGCTTCTGCTTAGGAATTGTCGGTTTTCTTGTTTTAATTCCGGAAGCAGAAGCGGATGATTAAAACGCACCTGATATTTTGCTTGCTCCTGTCAGTGTCAGTGAATATTATTTTTGGAGTCACAGTTTATTGCTAAAGAATCAGTTAGCTCACTCGGACCAGTTGAAAGTTCCAAAATAATATCCACTCCAGGGATACAAATTCAGGATACGCAGAAGACTGCTGTTTTATTATAGGCGGTTGTCATATATTGTATTATCCGAGTTCCGCAGTGTATAAACTGGAACATTGAGATCAAAAGTGCCGACGCTTAGTAAGCGATCTGATTCTTTAGCTATAAACTGTGTCATAGGAATCAAAATGGCCTCGCCCTATGTTAGGCGTGTCGGACCTCTCTCTTGCCCCGTATAGTAATCAAAGTATGTGCTAATATGTCATCGACAACCTTTTCGATATTATGAATATCTGATAAAGCCTCATCTTCTCTTCTGCAAAATTCATCTCCAGAGCTGATTAATCCCATTGGTGCCCTCAAGAATTTATATCGTTCTCAGAAAGTTAAAAACGTTGTCAGATTCTGGCTCTCTTTGTCGAGAAGTATTTGCCAATATCCACTTTCCATGTCTAGAGACGAAAAGTACTTCGCGTTGCCATTGATCGATGTTAGATACTGCTTCCCATGAATATTTAAAGGGATGTACAGGTCTTTTAATGAAACGATTAAGCTTCGTAAAATCAACGCAGACTCTAACACCCGTATGCATAGTCGATCGCCAGCGATTCACCAGAGATTCATTTCGGCGTATCGCCAGCGACTCGCTGGCGATCTGCTAGCGAAAACCCAAAAAGGTGTCATCTCGCTGGAGATTGTCACCGGCATGTCATTTCACGCAAGTTTTCATGTTTTTCTTACTTTTAAAACTTGTTATGTTTTAAAAAGAAGGTGTAATCTAGTAAACAGCAAGAACTCTTTTAGGACAGAATATAAATAGCAACTAAAACTAAGTATGAAGCAATTTTGGAACCAAAGAGTTTGGAACCAAACACTGACTATCCTTTCAACAATTCTTATCCAACTATTTGTTATCCCCTTTATTTATTTCTAATTTTAGCCAATTACCCATCAAACATTGATTAGTCACTTTGGCAATTAAAGAAAATATGTCATTTCAATATACCATATCAAAGTACTTATATGGTTTTATGTACCTATATCCGGGTATCTTAATTTTGACCTACTGTTCATCGACATTAACATATCCTTCAATGCGAACATTCCCGTTATACACAAACGAAGGTGAGCAATAATTAATGTACACCGATCCAAAAAAAAATTTTTTTTTTTATTTTATAACAAGTTCCGTTCTACCAATGTTTTCTGTCAAGGTTTCACTTTCTTCGATATGACGGTCACGATCTTGGATCGTGGGATTGGCATCGTATTGGTATACGCTGCAATCCGAGATCGACGAAGAGTTCAAAGGACGACTGCATTTCTCTCCAACGAACACGTTTTCACTTCTACATACATCGTATCGTATCGCATCGACGAGATTATATAGCATTTACCGTTTTTTACGTCTGGATGTTGCAATAACCGAGAGAAATTAGCGAATTAGGTGTGAGGAAAGTGAATTCGAACAATTATCTAATTTACGGGGTAACAAATTTTATTGTCAAATATAATGGAAAATACCATGCATAGAAAGCTATCTTAAAATGTAGAAAGATTAGGCGGGATCTAAATAAAGAAAGTTTGAGCTTTACTATGAACAATTTTCATCATAATACAATGCTAAATGAGCGGTTAAACAAACTTGTTCAAATACTCTTTTCAAGTCTCATTCAAAACTACTAAGTATGTCAATAAGTAAAACGTTTCAGCACCCGTCCTCTACTTAACCATCGGACTTCAGAGTGAAGGAGTAGGTCCCCGTATTATTGACAGTCAACTTCATCGGCCAAGATTTTGAATAATCTTTTTAACGCTTGAGCTCTAATCTTGTTCACAATTTTTACCACCAGTTTCATAACGTTGTTTAGTTTCAGGAAATTTCCACATAATGCTTGCTGACGGATAATGCACTGGTAATAGAGACATTGCGGAAAAGTTTCATCTTTACGACATAACGCCACCAGACCCTTATCACAACCCACCATAGCTGGAGCGCCATCGATTGTCAAGCCTACCATTTTCTATATTGGAATTTTCTCGGAAGAAATACTATTTTTTAAATGAGAAAACAACTCCTGTCCAGTAGTGTGTTCTTTCAGTGGAATAAACTTCAAAAGATCTTCTTTAATCGTAAAATCACTAAAAACCATCCTGACGAACACAGCCCACAGCCATCTGGGCAGTGTCAACGACATCTGTTGATTCATCCAGTTGAAGTGAAAAATAAACACAGTTATCTAAGTCAGTTCTTACCTGTAAAAAAATATCATTGCTCATTACTTCTACACGTCCCATCACTGTATTAGCAGAAAGTTGCATAGATTTTATAGCTGAAACTATCTCGTCTTTATTTCTAAAGTTGGCAAATAACGAATCAGCAGCTTCTAAAAACGCCTGTTTTATCATTTCCCCGTCTTTATAAGGTTTCTTTTTTTGTGCAATTATCTGGGACACACGGTACAATGCTTCAGTTGCAGCCTTATTTTTGTCGACTGTTCTTAAAAATATTGATTGTTGTCCAATTAACTGCTTTTTTAACTGTTTCAGTTTCTCCTTTCTGGCGGCAGAATGTAGTGGGAATGATTTTTCAAAATTAGAATGTACAGTTTTATGATGTCTCTTTTTTTAATCCTTTTTTAGCAACTGAGACCGAAGTATTACATAACAAACACACATTTTTATCTTTAACTTCTGTAAAAAAGTATTGTTCTTCTCATTCCGAATGAAAGTGGTATGTCTTTACCTTCTTACAACTGCTTGCCATAATATTATTTTTTGTTGTTCTCTACTAACCCAACCGCTGGACGTTGGTTACGCGTTCAGTGTTAAACTAAGCGCAATGTCGCCGAGCCGTGCGTATTTATCCCGTTCAAAGCAATCTTGATCGTTCTTGAACACTAACGCGCTGGTCCGGCTGGTCGGTTCTAGCCGATTTTAACTTGATGGCGTCAGCGGTAGATCGCTCACCGGAACGTTGCCGCTGCTTATGTTTAATATTATGACAATTAGATTTTTTGTGGAATTTTCGGAAGCTTCTCTGATTTTTGCAGTTTTTATTTTTTAAATTAAAATCGTTGTGAGAGCTACCAGAATTGCCTCTGCGAGCTACCGGTAGCTCGCGATCGACAGGTTGGCCGGTTGGCGACCACTGATCTAGGAAATTCGAGGCAATGTGATGGCGCGCTACTGTCGGCTCATGGTATAAACGAGTTTAAAAATAAATTAAGACTATTTAAATAATGTTCCAATAATCAGTGTTATAAACTTATTGTATTTATTTGACTACTTTTTCAGTTGAATTTTGGAACGTAACTTGTCTAACAATTTAGTTGATACTTTTGATGTTTTTTTTACATGCATCACGTTCGAGTCAATTAATTTGTTCTTGTGTTATTTATTAAAATGTATCTCAATGATTTACACAAATAGTAAAACTTAAAAAATACTTCTTCTTGTAGTAACAGTAAAAATATGTTTGTTTGCTTTCAGAGAAATGGCTCCAAATCTGTTAGGAAATTCGTCTTCAATGTACCAACAAACCTCTGGAGAGCCAGTTCAAATTATCAGTACCAAAGAGAACATCCAGAAGAGTTACCAACCTTACCAGCCACCTACCAAAAGAGCCAGAAGGCGTGGCCCGCATTATGAATGGGATATCGTCTGGAGGAATGTTTTGATATTCATATTGCTACATGGCATTGGAGTGTATGCAATATATCTAGTTTTAACGGGGAAAATTATGATTAAAACAGTTTTGTTCAGTGAGTATTAATTGATTTAATTTTGTTTAATTTTGCTTATTTTTATTTACCGATATACCTTAAAAAGATGGCAATATAAAAGTAACAGCTTGGAATTTAAGGACTATCTCTGTTATTTACGATTGGAGGAAAAAATTCTTCAAATAAAAGTATAGAAATTGATATGGCGCGCTTGGGCGGTATGATTGAAATAGTATTTAAACTTTTAGTAATAATATTAGGTTCCAACGATAAAGACGATTCCAGATTATACATTCAGAAGTCATACAAGTGATAGCTCAATTTACAGATTACAAAATTATAAACATAGATGATTATCACAACAAAAATAGATAACCAATCTGCTTTCATCTATTAATATTCACTAATATCCATTTACATTTTATGACAGGCTATTTATTGTCCACAGACGTAGTCCAATCGTTTAAACAGGTCATTAAGTTTGTTAATGTGTATCGGTCTTTGATAAACCGTGTTGTTCTTTTGGCAAGACGTCATGGTTCTTGAGAAAATCAGACATATAATTGGTAAGACGGATTCTATTATTTTACGGACAATAAAATAAATATTGATAAAAAGGTTGATTCTTTTGATGAAAACCTTAAAGGTATGCAAAATAATATCGAGACATTCAATAATCAGCTATCAAAATTTAAGGACCAAGTTAAAAATTCTAATTATCTTCTTTCTCCTGAATATATTGAAAGTATTACTGCTGAAGCAGTTGATAGAATGCGCTGTGCCAAGAATATTCTAATTCGCGGCATCGCAGAGGCCCAAGAAAGAACACGATAAAGAAAACCTCGATTTGATAGTGAGCTCGGTCGGTTCAACAGCCGAAATGGTTTCTTTTTATAGAATCTGAAAACCAAATTCTAACAATAAATACCCTCGAATGACTAAAGTCACTTTTCAATGCGAATCTGATGCTAAGTTAATTCTTCGCTCGAAACGTAAACTGATGGAAAATAATTTAACCAAGGATTTTAGTATCACCGATGACAAAACTCAGGCTCAAAATTCATATCTAGACGAACTTAGAACTGAATTGGAAAATAAAAATCGAAATGGCACTGACGACTGGACTATCAAGTACATTAATGGATCACCAAAGATCATACAAAAATTTCAGCATTAACTTTCAATGATTGGCTCCTATTATACACAAATTTATATTCTCTTTCCAAAAAATTCAATGAATTTATTTGTCTTGTTCAATCTGAAAAACCGGGCCCTTATTTTAATTACCGAAACGTGGCTCAATGAAAATATTCCAGACAGCTTAATCTCAATTCCTAATTACCAGATTTTTAGATATGATCGAATTGATAGACGAGGAGGGGGAGAATGTATATACTCGTATGTAGCTCAACATATCTCAGACTGTTTTACAATCTCATCTATAGATATTTCAGTTCCTCGTATTGATTCTCTTTGTTTGCAGCTGCAACATCTCAATTGCCGTATTACTCTTGTAGTTATTTACCGTCCGCCAGACACACCTGTTGCTACTGACGCGGCTCTGCTAGGCAAACTCGATGTCCCAAGTGGTTCTGAAAATATGATTATGGTAGGTGATTTCATTTTTCCAGACATTAAATTTCCAATTACTTCTATACCTGACACGCAAAATGTTACCAATCAGTTAATGGAATTTATCCACAATTCTAGTTTTGTTCAACTAATAACCCAACCCACGAGATTTAGAATAAATCAGAAACCTTCTACCCTCGATCTACTACTTACCAATGATGAACAACTCTTAACCCCACCGGTGTATCTCCCACCAGTTGGAATATCTGATCATGCAATCATAAGGTGCCTTTTACAATTTCAATCATTCTCTTCTTGCACATCCAACCACACTTTGCTGAAGTTTTTTCCTATCTAGACCATCTAGCCTGGATTAATATTATCCCCGAAAACATTGATCCGAGCTGCATATGGAATACCTTTCAAAATACAGTTAATGATGACAAAATAAACAGAAGAACAAATTTTAAACCTTGGATAAATAATCAACTGCTGTCTATGGTAAAACATAGGAAACACCTATGGAAAAAATTTAAGTGAACCACCAATATGAACGATTTCTCTACTCATCGACTATTTTCCAATCAACTAAAGCCGCACTTATCGAAGCAAAGTATAACTATCAGAAGTACATCGCCAACTTTGCTGATAGCAAAAAGTTCTATAAATATGTTAGAACAAATCTGACATCCAAAGTATCCGTACCTCTTTTACAAAAACAAAAAGAAGAGTGTGCCAACAATACTGAATCTGCTCAACTTCTTTCTGACACCTTCTGTAATGTCATCACCCTTGAAGATATGACATCAACACTTCCGGATATTTCACTAAACAGAATACAGGCCTCTATTTCCAATGTATCGTTTGACCCAGACATAATAAAAAACAAACTTAAAATGCTTAAATGCTTAAAAAGTCCAACTTTTCGCCAGGCTTAGATGGTATCTCCTCTTTTGATTTAAAATCTTGTACTGACACTCTCTGTCATCCTATTTCCCGTATAATGACTTCCTCCTTTAATTCTTGCCATCTTTATATGGTGCGTTTGATTTGATCATCAGAGATCTCCGAGCGCTTCAAAAGTGTTTGAATTGACATTCCGAGAGATCCCTAAAGTGTTTGTTTCGCTTTGGAGCAAGAACATAGAGCGAGCTCGATGTTCTCAGAGCAGAAAGATCGAGAAGAGGGAGAAATTTGTCTTTGTCTCTACCTATCTCTTTTTAATTAACTTACAAACAAATTTGAATCTCAAAATTAAAGACCAGACAAGAAGTCAACAAATTACTTAGCCGGTTTTCTCTTATAGCTAAAATTATTCATCATAAAAAACACAAAATGTGTGTTTGGAAAATACATTTTTTCTGTTCAGATCTAATCACCAGTAATCACAGTCATGGAGTGTGAGAGCGAAGCGGGCATTTGTGTTAAATGCTGCATTTCAGGGCCATTACCCCTTATTATTAAAAGTTTTTCCATTTTCTTTACTTTTTGCTCACTATTTCAACATACAAACCAGAAACAAGAATCACAGAAAAGCGAGGTTATGTTTTTTACTCTGTTTTATTTGATTTGATTCAATGCTCTATTGTGACGTCATCACTTCTCGGTCTCCTCGACGCTCGCTCGATCGAGTTTCAAATCAAACGCCCCTATAGAAGACCATGTCAGTGACTGCCATATTCAGAAAGGGCAATAAGCTTGACCCAAATAACTATAGACCGATAACTTGTACCAATAGTTTGTAAACTAATGAAGTGCATAATATGTGATAAGGTAACTGACTTTCTTGAAAACGAACGTGTACTTTCCACCCAACAACATGGATTTATCAGAGGACGATCTACCTTAACTAATCTCCTGCAGTATGTCAATGACTGGACAAAAGCCTTAGATGCTGGTCTTCCTACAGATGTTATATACTTGGATTTTTCTAAAGCCTTTGATAGAGTTCCAAAGCACCGACTTCTCAAAAACACCTAGGAATCCGAGGCAACTTAATAGCTTGGGTAACGGACTTTTTAACCTTCAGACAATTTCGCGTAAGAGTTGGTAATAGTTTCTCTCAAACCAAATCCGTTGTCAGTAAGTGCCTCAAGGATAAGTCCTTGGTCCCCTATTTTTTCTATTATATACTGCCGATATTTCTGTGCACATAAAAAGCAGTTGCTCCTTCTACGCAGACAATACAAAAAATTACGTTAATCCAATTGCGAACTATTCGTCTCTTCATTCTGATCTAAGTGGAGTTCAGACTGGTTATTACCGCTAAACGTTGATAAATGTGTTGTTCTTCATATCGGTAAAAAGAATCCTAAATTAGTGTATAATATCAATAATAATACCTTAAAGACAGTATTGTCCCAAAATGATCTCGGCGTTATCATTACTAAAGACTTTTGGCAATGTTTCTCCCTCAACATTTTTGAAAATATACGCAACATATATATGTTCGTCCTCGCCTGGAGTACTGTGGTCCTGTTTGGTGTCCCGCATTAATCTCGGATTAAAAGAGGTTGGAAAATGTGCAGCGACTTGCAACAAGGCTTCTGTATGGAATAAGAAGGCCACCGTATGAACAGCGTCTGTCTACCGCTAATCTGACTCTTTTTAGTGAGCGTAGACTGCGTGGTGATTTAATCGTTTGTTTTCGCGCAATTAGGCATATGTTCGGTGTCGATCTTTCGGATATCTTTGTATGAAATAATGTCCACATATCTTCTACCAATACAGTTCTTCTAAAAAGCGATTCCAATCAATTTCGTAGAGGATTCTCTTTACGTTAATAAAGTTTGTGACACTGTAGGTTACGTCCCTATCTGGATTAGGGGTTTCTATGTTAAATTCCATATTAAATATAATAACGCCATGGTCAGATTTCCCAATAGGCGAGTGGACAGATTGAGAAATTAGAAGTTGGTCGCCATTTGTTAATATAAGGTCTAGAGTTGAGGGTTCTTGATTTAAGCAAAAGCGGATAGGTTCGTTTATAAGTTGTTCAAGATTCAAATTTATTAAATGTGAAACAGAGTTTTGCGATACTTCAAGACCTTGGTCAGGAAATTTCTGGGAAGTTAAAATTCCCAACCACCACAAGATTGTCATGAGAAATAGATAGGTTTGAAAGTACCTCAAAAAGCTGTTGGTCGTTTTCTAGAGAAGTTTTCTTTGGAGGACGATATAAACATATCAGAGTGGTTGAGAAAGATTTGTATGATAGTTTTAACGAGATTAAATCTATATTGGGAATACTGATATCTGTTATCTAAGTTAAAGTGATAGATGACGCTAGGTAGATGCAGACTACTCCACCAACATTATTTGCGATGTCGCTTCTGTAAATTGGGAATCCAGGAACGTTAATAAGTGAATCGGGAATAGACAACTTGAGCCAAATTAAAATGACGTTGGGAGAAAAATGTTGCACTGAGCATAAAAAACTATTGAATTTAGCAGTTAGAGTATCCAGATTAGTTTACATAAGGATCCAATCGTTAAATTATGGAGATTGTCGGCTAGCGGGATTGAAAGGGATTTGTCTTCACAATTTTTGGAATACCGTTATGATATTTAATTCTTAGGTTATTTTCGCCATTTCGCTTTTTAGCTTCCAATTCATCTCTTAAGTCTTGAAGAATCTGTTGTTGGAAAGGGGTTTTGTCGTCGATAATGGTAATGTTTTTCAATGTTGCTATTTCTAAGACGTTCTTTTTGTTTCGTAAAACGTTTTTGGCGGCGTGTTCTGAGGGCATAATTACTTTGAGCCATCGGGAATAGCGACTATTTTGTTTAGCTTTTCCAGCGCGGAAAAAAGTGACAGGTTGATCGGAAGACGAAGACGAACGACCGCTTCATTTGCCAGTATAGTACGATGATTGTATGTGAACAGGGACAAATCACCTTCTCCAATATTTTGTTCGAGTATAGTCTATTTTTATTTATATTGGGGTAATTCCCAACGGAATTCCCTTTTTTTTTGTTTTAGCAAATATTATTTATTGTTTTATTATCAACTAACATTTTTTACTCTGGTTTTGTGTTAGTTTTTTTAATTTAAACCTCATTGAACGTTTTTTGTTGAGTAGTAGTTCAAGCTGAATTTTTATCCAGAATGTTGTTTTAGTAAAAAAATCAAGCTTGCTTACTCTTGAGTTCATTTTTCGAGATAAAACTTACGTTAAGATCACCATTTGTGTACTGATGAAAGAAAAAAAAAATAATTTAAAAAAATATTACCAATATCTCTTGCGTGATAATAAAATTTGCATTTTTAATAGATATAACAAATTCCTACAGCTGTTTAGGGTTGTCAATTTTTCTTAAAATATTAATAACATCAAAAATTAATTTCTTCTTCGCTTCTGTCGCTAATTCAATAAATCATTACAATAAATCATTAATAATAACTCGTTAATAATATATGAAAGTTCACGGCCATTCTATTTAATTCATAGATATAGATTTAATTGTTTGGTAAGGTGCATAAAATCTAATCAAGTTTATGATCTATAAATGGCAAAATATGATTTGCGTATATAAATTACTGGTCACCTATTAAACGAATTTTTATGCTACATAAACAAATCCGTTACATCTATAAAAATTGATTAGTATACGATTTATCTAATTAGATGTTATTACTAACTTTTACGATCTTCCTTTCTCTTTTTCTGTGTTTGATTAACTATAGTTGGGCTATTATTTAAAAATTTGGAAGTAACACGTTTGTTAAATATAATTTGACCCACAAATTTGATCTATCTTTATCTTTGTCAGTTATAAGCAGGTAGGATAATTTTTAGCCCAGAACACTTTGGCCTCTTGGTTCTATTATATTCATCGGCTTTTCCCGTATTCAGGTACTATCTTTAAAATAGTCCTGTGCCTTTGGTTAGTTTTACTAAGTGTTCCTGGGTCCTGGCGCGTTTTTTACAGTTCTAGGTCGAAAATGGTATGAGGTTTTTTCCTCTTCCATGCACAGTCTACATGTGGTGGGATCATTGTGTAATCCAATCACATGAAGGTATTTCAGCAAGCAATGTATGGTTAGTAATCCCACAATGGTGGATATCTGAGGCCCTGCGAGTTGTAGTAACTCAATAGCCTTGCGTGGATTTAGCCCCATTAGCATGAGCTTACTGATTCTGTGCCCTCTTATCTGTTGTTCTGTTTGGGTTTTGAGGAACGCAAGTACCTTTGTAGTTTCCATGTCCTGCATGGGTTGGAATATCCAAGCCCCAACTTGGTTGGTTTGGACGATCTCGCTAGAGGGTTCCACCATAAGTTGTGCTCCTTGCCATGGTTGGAGATGGAGTTTTATTTCGTAGAGCCAGGTTTTAGCGGTGTCATTGGCACAAAATTAAGAAGGGAGATCCGTTATGGAAATATCCCTTTTTGAACTGTGGCTCAGATCCCTCTGAATACTTGAAAGAACAAATTAAAGTACTCGAAGTAACTTTAGATATAATTATAACTTTATTTTTTAACGTTTAATAAAAATATTATTTTGATACGACAATTATGAATTGTTTATTAATTTTCACTGACAAGCCTATTATTATGAAAACGTGCAGTGTCCCTTCGCCATGGTCATCTCATAAATAGATTTAAATATAGCTGGACACCTTGAAAGACCTGGCTTTCAAATAAGCATACATAAAAAAATAAAAAACTAAACTAAATGTCCAATGAGAAAATACAAATTTTAAGATAAAATTTAAACCTGTGTTGAAATCTGCCTAAGACCGGACCTGTTTTTTTGGCCGATCCCAGCAACGGCTGGCAACGGCGCTTTTCATAAGATTTCACACTGCATTATCAGTGTGTCTCGCACTATAGTAATCAACCCAACATTTTGCAATGGATTGCCGTACTATAAGTTTTTATTGTGTTTTGAGAATTTATTTTTTTTAGTATAATATGAAATTTGTCTTTTCATGTCATTCTATTCGTTTTCTAAATTTTTGTCAATTTGTATCTGTGAGAGTTTATTTTATAAAAAGGTTTTTTCACTAGTCACAATAAATAACGACACAGGTCTCCAAAAAAATTTTTTTTGTTTGCTGTTGCCACATACTTTGATTACTATACGAGGCAAGAGAGAGGTCCGACACGCCCAACATAGGGCGCGGCCATTTTGAATCCTGTGACACAGTTTACAGCTAAAGAATCAGATCGTTTATACACTATGCAACTCGGATAATACAATATATGACAACCGCCTATAATAAAACAGCAGTCTTCTGCGTATCCTGAATTTGTATCCCTGGAGTGGATGTTATTTTGGAACTTTCAACTGGTCCGAGTGAGCTAACTGATTCTTTAGCAATTAGGCATTCCAAACAAATGAATTACCAGTGGGCAGGTTTGGTATATCTAAGGGTGGCGACATATGGTGTATTCTATCTACTTTACGTAAATCATGAATAATGGATTACATTTAAATATTTTATGTCAAACACAAAAAAAATAATATTTAAAAAACCCACCTATACATTTCTTCATAAATTGGCAGGCTTGGCGAGTACTACTTCGAATAAAAATAGCGTCCAAGTTGCAAGATAATGTCGCTACCCCCTTAGATATACAAGAATTTCCCACTGGCACCTATTGTTTGACAGGTCGTTGGAATGCCTAATAAACTGTGACTTCAAAAATAATATTCACTGACACTGACAGCAGCAAGCAAAATATCAGGTGCGTTTTAATCATCCGCTTCTGCTTCCGGAATTGTCGGTTCAGTCGTTTTAACCTGTCAGATTAAAACAAGAAAACCGACAATTCCGAAGCAGAAGCGGATGATTAAAACGCACCTATTAAAAATATTGCGCCAAGATGTAGGCAACACGTAATAAGGGTTCAAAATGGCGGAGTTTTCTATCTCCTTTTAAAAGGCACTCAGAAAGCTGCGCAGTGCGACCATTCTCCGTATAGTAAAAGAAAATCAAAGTATGTGGCTGTCGCTAATTCTATGTTATAATTTGGTTAATTAGCCCGCAAGATGACGTGCGAAGCTTTCAAAATCTTGAAGCTACGTTCTGGGGTGGGATTCCGTTCTGTGTCGAGTAACTCGATCTCGATACGATTCATAATTCGATCGAATTATGAAAAGCACATACTTTGATTTTCTTTTACTATACGGAGAATGGTCGCACAAAAAGAGAAGCTTCTAACCTGTAAAATAATGTGTAATTAAATGTCAATAAATGTTTTGAAATAAATGTTCTTCTTCTTTTTAATAAATTAATTAAATGCTTTCTAATTTATTTACCTTTGCGAAATCTCGAACTTTTTATCAGGGTACCAAATGTACTTGAAATCAGTTTTACTTTTAGCGGCACTAAAATCATTGTAAACCTGTGAAATCACTTTCCTCACCCTACTTATCTACTAATCTGGCAACCCTACTTATTATTGATGCCAATTTTACTTATCTTAGGCACTTGTAAAGTCCAATAATTACAATATACTTAATTTTGAATTAATGCATTTGTACGTGTGTCAGTAATAAAGTGTTTAGGAATCAATTGTTCCAATTTTGTCGTCCGTACATACTTATCTATAGGAGTTTTCTTTTATTTCCAGATATATTATTCGCATCGTTTTCGGCCCTCGGTGTGACGGCAGGAGCACATCGATTATGGGCACACAGAACCTACAAAGCCAAAGGGCCGCTTAGAGTACTGCTGATGATCTGTCACACGGCCGCTCTTCAGAACGACATCTACGAATGGGTGAGAGATCACAGGGTGCACCACAAATTTACCGATTCGGATGCGGATCCCCATAACGCGAGTCGAGGATTCTTTTTTTCACATATCGGCTGGCTGTTGATCAAGAAACATAAGGACGTCATTGCTAAAGGAAAGACGGTCGATATGAGCGATATTGAAGCCGATCCTGTTGTTATGTGGCAGAAAAAGTAAGTCAATATTTGTTATTTTCTTATAGCTCTATACAAATAGAAATGTGAGAATGAAAACCACAATTCCTTACGTTAATGAATACATCTCCACAATACCAAAAAGAAAACAAACCGAAGAAAACTGGGTAGGCTGGCTCAATGGTTAGAGTCATGACTTTGAGATCCAAGAGTCTCAGGTTCGAATCCCGCTAGTTAAAAATTAATTCTAATGCATAGGTAGGATTCCACAATCGACCATTCACTGTTGGGTTCTAATTAACAGTGCTGTTCCTGGTTCCTGATTACACGACATTATAGTACGCTTTTAAGTGTGTTAATCTCTAAAAAAAAGTAGGATATGACAAAGAAAACTTAACACTGGTAAACGAATGAAGAATCTTAGAATTTATTCTAGTATAATCTAAGACTGGCGTCCTTCTATACGATGTTACAAGGGTAACTTTAAGGATAAATTAGACTTTAGAGAACTGGGAAAAATGTGTATGTGTCGGTGGAAGTCAGAACCTGATTTCGTAGGGGAACTGTTCTCAATTTTATTTATAATTAAAATCTAAATATTTGCGTTTTTTTTCATATTTAGGTACTACGTCTTGTTGGTAACTATGTTGACATTCATGCTACCAGCGCTCATCCCATGGTTGTACTGGAGAGAAGCCTACATCATGTCTTGGTATATGACCATCCTCAGATACACTTTGTCTTTGAATATTACATGGCTCGTCAACAGCGCCGCACACATTTGGGGAACTAAACCATACGACGGGTAAGTCAAATTATCCAATATTTGTTAACTTCAGTAAGTAGGTCTTTTAGCATTTTTTGACTTTTTTGACGACTTGCTTTTTGTTTCGACATTTAAATTTTTTACCTTTTTGTACATTTTTTTAATTTCGATTTTATTTAGAATCTTTTGATTTTTCTTTTTGACTTTTTTACTTTTCTTAACTTTTTGTTTTTTGAATTTCTGATTATTTTGACTTTTTAAACTTTTTGACGTGTTTTGTCATTTTTACTTTCCTGTATGTATACAGATTAGCAGTATAGAAATCATGGTTTTTTTTCGACCTCGAGTTTTCGACGGATTTTTAGGTTTTGGGGTCCGTTTTGACTATTTTCTGATGATGTATGTGTGTGTGTCTATATATTCGATAATTCATGTACAGATACAGAAAAAACACCAAATTTAAAACTTAAACTTTATAGCTGCCTGCGGTGAGAAGACTTTCTTTGACTTTCTTTGACTTTCTTTGACTTTCTTTGACTTTCTTTGACTTTCTTTGACTTTCTTTGACTTTCTTTGACTTTCTTTGACTTTCTTTGACTTTCTTTGACTTTCTTTGACTTTCTTTGACTTTCTTTGACTTTCTTTGACTTTCTTTGACTTTCTTTGACTTTCTTTGACTTTCTTTGACTTTCTTTGACTTTCTTTGACTTTCTTTGACTTTCTTTGACTTTCTTTGACTTTCTTTGACTTTCTTTGACTTTCTTTGACTTTCTTTGACTTTCTTTGACTTTCTTTGACTTTCTTTGACTTTCTTTGACTTTCTTTGACTTTCTTTGACTTTCTTTGACTTTCTTTGACTTTCTTTGACTTTCTTTGACTTTCTTTGACTTTCTTTGACTTTCTTTGACTTTCTTTGACTTTCTTTGACTTTCTTTGACTTTCTTTGACTTTCTTTGACTTTCTTTGACTTTCTTTGACTTTCTTTGACTTTCTTTGACTTTCTTTGACTTTCCTTTGACTTTCTTTGACTTTCTTTGACTTTCTTTGACTTTCTTTGACTTTCTTTGACTTTCTTTGACTTTCTTTGACTTTCTTTGACTTTCTTTGACTTTCTTTGACTTTCTTTGACTTTCTTTGACTTTCTTTGACTTTCTTTGACTTTCTTTGACTTTCTTTGACTTTCTTTGACTTTCTTTGACTTTCTTTGACTTTCTTTGACTTTCTTTGACTTTCTTTGACTTTCTTTGACTTTCTTTGACTTTCTTTGACTTTCTTTGACTTTCTTTGACTTTCTTTGACTTTCTTTGACTTTCTTTGACTTTCTTTGACTTTCTTTGACTTTCTTTGACTTTCTTTGACTTTCTTTGACTTTCTTTGACTTTCTTTGACTTTCTTTGACTTTCTTTGACTTTCTTTGACTTTCTTTGACTTTATTTGACTTTCTTTGACTTTTAATTTTTTTACTTTTTTCTTTTTATTTCTTTTGTATTTTTTGACTTTTTTGCCATCTTTGTCGATTTTTAACTTTTTTTTACTTTTATATACTTTTTTTTTTACTATTTTCGACTATTTTTGACTATTGTTGACTATTTTTGACTATTTTTGACTATTTTTGACTATTTTTGACTATTTTTTGACTATTTTTGACTATTTTTGACTATTTTTGACTATTTTTGACTATTTTTGACTATTTTTTGACTATTTTTGACTATTTTTGACTATTTTTGACTATTTTTGACGATTTTTGACTATTTTTGACTATTTTTGACTATTTTTAACTATTTTTGACTAGACTATTTTTGACTATTTTTGACTATTTTTGACTATTTTTGACTATTTTTGACTATTTTTGACAATTTTTGACAATTTTTGACTATTTTTGACTATTTTTGACTGTTTTTGACTATTTTTAATTTTCTTTTTACTTTTCTTGACTTTTCTTTACTGTTTTTTTTTTGCAGAACAATAAACCCGACAGAAAACTTGTACGTCTCCGCCTTGGGCTTCGGCGAAGGTTGGCACAACTACCACCACACTTTCCCGTGGGACTACAAAGCAGCAGAACTTGGAGACTACAAAATGAACTTCACCACAGCCATTTTGGACTTTATGGCGTACATAGGCCAAGCGTACGATCTAAAAACGGCCTCTGCTGAGATGGTAAAGAAGAGAGTATCGCGGACGGGTGATGGAAGTTGGAATAACGGCACCCTTGAGGGAACCGTTAACGAAGAACCTAAAGAAGAGAAATCTAACCATCATCATCATCATCTCGAAGATTGTGTGTGGGGTTGGGGTGATAAAGACATGCCCGAGGATGAAATTAGAGATGTTAGAATTTTTAATAATTTAAAAGAAGATTAAGTTAGTCTAATAAAAACTGTGATTGTTTTTTTATATGTTATAATAATATGATGGAGTAGGGGTAATTTAATTAACTGCTCTTGATGTTACTGCAACATGGTTGTCTTAAATCAAGTACCTAATAATTGGGGTAATAGTTGCAGTGGCAGTTGCAATCTACAAATTTTTAATTGCATATTACCCACTATCATTATGGGCAGTTAACAAATAACGATAAGGAAATCACATTAAATTATAAAAACGGAAAAATAACGAAAAAAAAGTTTTTCAGACTGTTTATTGTTTTCAAATTGCAATGTAATTAAAATTCAAATAAAAAAAATAAAAATTCCTAATAAACTGCAGTACATACACTGGATTGACATAGACAAATATTTCTTTTTAAAAGCTATTCACTTTTCATCCGATGAAATAAATTTTCAAAATATCTTCTGAACATCTTCTAAACATCTTTTAAACATCTTCAAAACATCTTCTAAATATCTTCTAAACATCTTCTAAACATCTTCTAAACATCTTCTAAACATCTTCTAAACATCTTCTAAACATCTTCTAAACATCTTCTAAACATCTTCTAAACATCTTCTAAATATCTTCTAAACATCTTCTAAACATCTTCTAAACATCTTCTAAACATCTTCTAAACATCTTCTAAACATCTTCTAAACATCTTCTAAACATCTTCTAAACATCTTCTAAACATCTTCTAAACATCTTCTAAACATCTTCTAAACATCTTCTAAACATCGTCTAAACAAACGTCTTCAAAACAAATCGCAATAAATACTGAAAAGCCATTTTTCTTACACATATAATTATTTAATAAATTCGAAGCTTTAAATTTGTGATTGAGGTTGTTGACCTTCCAAAAAATTATATTGACTTATATACATTATGTATGAAAGCCTAGTCCACGTTCAATCATTAGATTGCGACGTTAAATGAGAAATTTCGCCATGAAAAGGTATTTAGATTTCAATGTAGAATAATTTTATTGATAATTGATGAAAAAAAAAAAAAATTGAATTACCTATAACTACTATGATGTAAAAATCTTATTTAGATTTTTGTTTCTGTTAAATCCTGGTTGTTCATTTTTGTATATAAAATTGTGGCATTTCTCACAACTACATAGTTGGATAATATTATTCGATTATTTTATGATTGGCAATGTTATGTTGATTAGAAATAAAGTTTTAAGTGATTTAGGTATGTGTATTATTGATGGAATTCGAACCATGGATTGATTACAAAAAGCCAGGGTTCAAGGTTTTCGAGAATTTGGACTATGCTGTAAATCTGACAAAAAAAATATACCTTACTATCAAAACTATCCTCTAAAAGGCTAAAATTCTTTTTAAATATCATTTACAGCTCTTTTAAAAACCCTTTAATTAGTGAAAAGTGTTTGGAAGAATAATTTACTGTAAAAAAATGGTAATAAACTAGAAAAAAACTTACCGTAATCTGAAATAAACTACAAATTACAATATTAATATAGGAGGTTTAGTAAATTCCACTTTTTTCTTACTTTCTGCATTTTTCTTTCGGGGTTTAACAACTCCATTTTTTAATACACTTATAACTTTATATATCGTTGATTTGCTTACACAAATCCTATTACTTGTCTTTTCAACAGTATCATCAACAGAAAATGAAGGATTTTCCATTCTTAGGCCATTATAAACTTTGCTTACAAATATTTTCTCGTTAACTGACAATGCACACTTTTTATACGTTTTATAGGTGTAAACTTTGAACTTGAACCACACTGCATTTTTCAATAGTACTGTCATTATTAACCGAAAATAACCACAATTTCTTACTATAATAGAAAATATAGAAGGCTAATCAAACAGGGTAGGTACTATTGGGAACTGATCAAGATACTAATTGCAACTGCCTATCTTATCTTCATACCAAATCCAAGGTAGGTAACCATCTTATAATCCCCCTCTCCTCCAAGTAACACACAAAGTTATAAAATGTTGGTATAATTGATTAAAACGTTAAAAAACACACGTAAACGACACAAATAACTTTAATTTGTAAAACTGATTAACAATTTTTTAATAGTGTGGAAACTAAATAGTACGACGTTAGAAGTTGTTGAGTAATAAGTTGTAAAAGAGTTGTAAAATATATGTAGTTATAACGTTTCTATAACTTTTAAATTACAACTACTTTTATATAATACACCGTTACTATAGAAGTTGTACAGTGATTAAAGGTGTATTTTATTTTATTCCTAGCATGTATTATTATCTTTTAATCCAGAATTTTGAACTTTTCAGCAGTAGTAATACCTAAGACACAAGACTCCAGCTTTTTATTGAACTTGATTTCCTCTTCCATTTCTTTTACTTCATCGATTTAATAATCCATATCATCGAAGTCTAAAAAGTGGCCATCAACCACTCTCTCCTGATCTGAAGAATCTTTTGCAGCTTCCGGTTCAAGAACGTTGTTTTTGTGACTTGTTGAACACGAGGCCTTTTGAGTCAGGAAAGTTATTTCGGAGTGAGCGATGCTTTTTCCTGGCGCTAACATCTTCTTCTTTGGGTAGTTCCTGTCTTTTGTTTTCTAAGTATTCTACAAATGTGTTATCGACTGCAGAAAATTGAGAAGTATTATTACCAGAAGTGGACTTTGTTGTATGTAGTTGTTCAAGCAATGGAGTTGTGTCACAAGGCAAAATACCGCATTTTCTGAATCCGGATATTAATTTGTCTGCTGCATGTTTTCTATTTTTTCCATCAGCGATCGCAACAAGGCTGGAAAATGCTGTTTCTCAAGAACGTTAGATCTGCTGCCTATGTGAGTTTCCTTGTAACGCGTCAAGATATTCCTCCACACTCTCTTTATAGGCGCAAAGAACGCAACATTTAACATATAACGTGTGTGCGGTTCGGTGGCAAGCACACAAAATGAATATCGTTTACTCTGCACCAGTCCAGGACTTCAACATTAATGTGCGAGGATAGGTTTATCTCTCCTATAACAACCTTATTTCCAGGGATTTTCTTAAATTTTGGCAACAGAAGTGGCATGAACCAGTCAACGAATGTATGAGACTCAAACCATCCAGATTGAGTGTTCCCATAGCGGGCACCTGGTGGCCCATTTTCAGTCCACGTACCTATCCCACAGGTGCTTGGACTTATAGACGACATATGGTAATACTAGCTCACCAGCTGCATTTCCTGTAATCATGAGAGAAATGCTACTCTTAAACGAATTGCATATTCGTTCTGGATATTTGTTAGAGGTAAATGTAATATTTCAGTTTTTTCCTTAGTTATTAAGAATCTGACGGATCTGGCAACGGCGCTCTATGTTCCAGACTATCGGCCATCCGCCATTATCCGGTTATTCGCACCAATTTTGCAATAGTTTTATTATTAGAACAGAAGTAAAAGTTGGAAATGCTTTTGCCAGTTCTCCCACTTTATACACATAATTGACACAGGTTGGCAGCGGATCTCACCGAAGTGGACGCGATACATTGGCGTACAAAATTATTTTATAGATGTTAATAACAATTTCGAGTAAATAGTTTAATAAATTGTGAATAGCTGTTGAAATTTTGTAAAATTATAATTTGAATATTATAATACATGTTTAATAATTATTTATAATCCATAAATACATGCGATTGTCCGGTTCCGCCGATAACAATTTAAAATTACTTATTCGATGAAACGACACTGGCAGGTAAACATTACTGTGAAATTCTCGGAGCCGCCCGACGTGGTTTGACGTTTACCCCCTCTCTACTAGACATGGGTAACGCACTAAAATTCTTTGCGTTGACACACTAACTCCGGCGCACTCTATTGCGCCAACTCATTGCGTTAACGCAATTGCGTTATTGCGTCACACCACTACCTGCGCCGAATAAAGTCGTTGCACCTCGGTGTATCGCATGATACCGGTGTTATTCAGCGCGGGCTGCAGGGGTGGGAAACTGGTATGCGCAGGCCTGGGATCAATCAACCACGTCCGCGTGGCGCTGCAGTCGGGTGGTGGGGTAGGTGGTGGGAGTGTAAATGACAGGTGAATATTGATTTTTGTGGGGGTGTCATGGCGTCTTGGCTTAAACCAAACGCACGGACCAAACGTAAACTTTGTTTATTTATATTGGTGACTGTTGTATTCAGTTGTTTTCATTTCCAATTTGCTTAATTGATTTAGTTGACCACTGTTAATAAGCTTGTTTTTCCATTATAAATTTGTGCTTTTTCCGCTGTTATTTTGTGGTTTTTCATAAAGATGCGTAATTATAGAAAATGTGTACCGAATTGCCTTGTTGTGGACAACAAGATGCATCGCCTGCCTCGCCCTACGAATTCACCCGATTTATTTGATATTTGTGCACTTGCTGTTCGTTGTCCAAGATTTAATAATAAAACAAGACTACAAATTTATTCCACCTTTGTAGTATGTCATAAACATTTTGAAGAGAAGTATAAAGTAGTTGGCTCTCGTCGAGGTCTAACACCTGAAGCATTTCCAACGCTATTCCTACCCGCAGTTCCTGGAAGAGTAGCGGATGGACTTTCCTCAAATAACATAGAAATTGAATATGTTGATCAAACACCTTCTACTTCAAGTAAAGGTTCGAAGAAGAAGCAGACTAATAATATATGTTGGACTTCTTTTCGAGAAGGAAAGTTAGTAATCTACTCATTTATTTTATACTTATACTGTGTATTTTCTGTTTCATGACATTTGGGGTTGCAAAGCTGTATCCTAGAAGAAGAAGCAGACTAATAATATATGTTGGACTTCTTTTCGAGAAGGAAAGTTAGTACTTATTTATTTTATACTTATTGCTGTGTTTGAGAATCCACATCAGATGCGTTTTTTTATCCACATACCTATATATAAAACGTTTATTTAGTCAAAAAAACTATTTTTTACATGTCAATACATCTTCACGTTTAAAATATAAAAAATACATAAATATAGAATCAACATACATTTAAAATGCAATAAAAAATACATAAGATACAGTACACTTACATGTCAACTATACAAAACAATAAAAGAACAAGAAAGAGAAAAAAAAACGTCAATAGGTGAACAGGTATTCATGCAGTTTTATTTTAAATATTGCCACATTTGAAGAACATTTAATATCCTCAGGCAAATTATTAAAAGCCTGTACACCTTTAAAAAACACTGAATTTTGTGTACATTTTTCTTGTTACCTGTTTAGGTTCATGAACATCCTGATTATAACTTAAAATATTTTGTAAATATACTCTGGAGATTCCTGATTTAATTTTAAATATAAAAAGCAGGGAATAGAATAGCAAATATTTTTTAACAGTCAACCACTGAAGCACATTCAACATGGAATTGATTGGTTCCAATCTCGAACAGCTCAGTATTATCCTCAGACCTCTATTCTGCAACTTTTGCAATCATTGCAACTCATTCTGGTTGAGCAAATACAGTATAGTGGCACAATAATTAAAATAAGGTAATATTAAGAGTATTATAAATTATTATTTTAGTCCATTTGCCGAGATGTGGAGAACAGCGCCTCAAATAGTTTATTTTAAATCGGACACATCTGTCCCATTACATTTACGTAAATTGAATCACGTGATCAAAGATTTACTACATCTCGGTTGCATCCGATGTGGATTCTTAAACGCTGCATATACTGTGAAATTTGTGTTTCATGACGTTTGGGGTTGCAAAGCTGTATCGTAGATGTTGGACTTATTAAAAAATAAAGTATTCCTCGGACTTATAATTTTTTATTAATACATTTATTTTAATGAGATTGTACTTATACTGTCTTTCTTTTTTCACAGCTAAAGTTCTTCACAAAATGATGGACAGTGTTGTATCCTGCAATATGTAGCAGCCATCCAGCTACTTCATACATAATACAATTTTCATATACATTACATTTTTTAAATATTGGATTTGTATTATATATATATTCTTTAATAAATTTATTTTTTGAATATTCTTGTTTTTTTTATCTAAAAACTGTTAGCCAAATTAAGATTTGTTCACACAAACTGCATTTTTGCTTTATTATAGCGATATTCGCTATAATAAAGCAAAAATGCAATTTGTGTGAACAAATCTTAATTTGGCTAACAGTTTTTAATGCGGATAATTTTTACTGTCAAATTTGAATAGCCCCGCGCTTTTCTTCTCTTCTTCTTTTTATTATTTTCTCTTCTTTCATATGGCCTCTTACCAGACAAGGACTTAATTGAAAAAAAATCAACCACGTCCACCAGGTGCCGCTAAAAACTCTATCATCCTTTTTTAACATGGGAGTTACCGTTCTAAGAGTAAGTGTTCTGTGGCGGGCTGTCCTTTTATAAGGGTCAAACCGTGTTCAAGACAGTAACGCAATTGGGAATTTAACTAAATTATATGTTTAAAAATAAACGAAAATATAACAGTGTAATGCACCCATTTTTTATTTCATTGTGTTCGGATTTTACAAAGAATACAAAAATTTCAATTTATATAAAAAGGATATAACTTTTGTATACTAGTAGTCAATCAAAATGGGAAGAACTAAAAACTGACAGTGTACAAGGTTAAAATCCACAAAATTCGACCTACAATCCTACAAAGAATGATGTGACATGTTGCAAAGAACATAATTACTTGATAGATTTTGGGTAATCTACATTACGAATTACGTAAATTAAAAATTTCAACTCGTCACGGAAAACGCAATCAGTGCCTGGCGCATGGCGCACCAACAACTCGCGATCCTTTCGACTCAATCGAAAATTGCGTTGCGCTGATACAGTAACAGCTGGTGTATCAACGTTCATAACGCATACAACTGCGTTAACGCAATAACGCAACGCAGCGCTGCGTTACCCATGTCTACTCTCTACCTACCAAAAGACTTTTCAACTTTTACTTTCTCTATAGCAGGAGCTTTGCTCTAAAAGAATCCTTGTAAGATCACGCTTCGGGATCGTCCATCAGGTTAGTTTCGTCGAAATTAAAAATAGCATTTGGCTCTACACTTTACATTCACAAGTGTTTTCCTTAAATTTTCTATATATTCGGTCATTTGGTTTAAGCACTTTTGATGAATGAATAATGATTAACTTAATTTTGATATAAAAACGAACGTTAATCTGAAATTCTTTATTTTAGAGATCAAAAAGCCTAATAACAACTATTAACTATTCCAACTAGATTTTTAAAGCGAAATTTTTAAGTGTGTTATTACAATAAAATCAATTTCATTATGCCAATCAATTCATACGTTTTGAGCTTTTATTTCATACTGAGTTTGTCACTATAGACACGTCGTAATACTGCAAAATAGGAATAAGATGACCTCAATACCTAAAACAGAAAAATAAAAAATGATTTGCAATCTGACGTTTCTCTATTTCAAATCTTCCTCATGATATCCATGATAAATTCAAGTATGCCTCGAAGTTTTTTAAAGTAGAGTTCACACCAAACCAATTAAACAAGACCGACAACAAAATAACAACACAACAAAACCGCAAGTTATCGAAAACAGAAGAAAATTGACAACTGCCGGTCCATATTGAAAAGTCTATATGAAAACAACTAGTTTGTAGTGTGAATCTGCTTGAAAATGTGGCTGCCGATTTTGTATTGTTAACCCAAAACAAGAAAAAACATTTTTGGATTCAACCGACTTTAAAGAACCGACCAAAAAATATGTTGATGAATTATTATTGAAAGATTTACGAAACAATAGAATCAGTATTAGTGGAGAAGTGCGATATAGATTTAGGGTGAGATTAGAGAACGTATTTGAAAAAATTAAAAAGGTTGCTGTTTTCTTTTTGTTTTTTTGATCTGGTGTGGACCCGGCATAATGCATAAGAAACTGCAACACCCATTCGTTATTAAATAACTTTTATTTTTTTTATTTTTTATTTTATTTTTAGTGTGATAATATTTTATTAGTTTAATTAAACACAAAATGTGTATAAATTTTATCAAAATGTTTGTGAATTTCTATAGTAGCATGTCGAGGCACAAATACATCCTCTATTCGCGTTCATGACTCGCGTGCCTTTGTCGAATTATAGCCTACTTTCTACTTCAGAAATATTTTTGTGCATCACACGATATAGACATCAGATACATCTCTAAAAATTTACTTACGGCCATAAAAAAGGGGATGTCTAATACAAAAAAATTTCCTGCTCTTAGCCTAACTGGCAATTTAGCTCTTTCCATAATAATAAAATACATTTTCTGTACTCTGGCACTGCACTTGTACCATTCCGCCGAATAGCATGCATCAGTAATTTCATCGCTCTAGAAACAAAAATTTATCAAATTAATGGTGGACTCAAAAAATAAAAAAATAAAAAAATTAAAAAAAATTATTTTGTCCTGAAATATAAAATGGATATCAACTCGAGAATAAAATCTGATTATGGAGCCGATAAAGTTGCCTTTTATACCCGTTGATAATGTGCAATATCTATAATAAAATGGACACGAGAAGAGCTGCGCCAATTCGTCATCAAGACCCGCAAGATGATGCATCTCCATAGAAGTTTGCATCCAAATTCATCTATACAAAGAATATATCTTCCAATCTTCCATGCAATCAGGGAGGCAGAGGGCTGTTGAACATTCAACATCTTCATCGTAGAATGGTATTGGATCTGGCCCCCTTCTATGCATGGTACGCGACCATGAAAGAGCTGGAAAATGAGCCTTTATATTTAGGACAGCAAGAAGAGTAGCTGAAGGTCTTGACCTTGTTTGTAACTTTAAAAGCCCACATAAAAGTTGCAGAACAAGCTATGCTGAAGCGACAACATATGGATAATCCTATGTATAGCGTTTTCTTCAAAAACATCGAGGATCTAGGCTTATCCAAGCGACTGACTTTTGTCTAAGGGAATTATTTATGCTTGTCGAGATAGGGTTCACAACACTCTTCTCTATCGGAGAAATTTACTGGGTATAGACCTCCGAGCAATTACTACTAGAGGGAGTCTTCCCCCCTTCCCCGCGCTAAATTTTGTTAGCAACATCTACTCCCCCCGAGGGGGAAAATACCTCTTCTGTAATTGGCTTATTTAATCAGCGTTGCCAAGTTTGACAGCGCCAGAAGTGTTCTGTGAGCGCCAGTTCTGACACTTTCTGACACATGTCAATTTCTTATTTGTATTTTACGTTGTAAGGGTTGTAAATGTATATTTAAGATTTATTATCTCTAATAATATGGTGAAAACATGCTTTATGTGTAAAAGGCCTGTTGAAAATGCTTCTTCAAGATAATATCATAAGTAAGTACAGACACAACCTAATTATCAGAGGCGGTGCATTAGGCAATCACCTTTAATTTGCAATTAAACTTTCTTATTTTCTTATCGAAAAATTAAAATTAAGAGCAAGTACACTCCAGCTAAGTTCGTCTTCATCCGTCTCATAATGATTATAGTAAAGGTTAATTACTTATTATTATTTTAATATCACATCTTTGTAAAGTTTGTTATTTTTTTTAGGTTTCCTTTTCTTGATATGAGAAAGAAATACATGGTTCCAAAAGATATGAATTCAACAAGTGACCACCTGAATAACTTTTTATGCTAATGAACATTTTTCTTACAGACCTCAGGGAAGGAAAATATTAAAGAAAAATGCAATTTCGACGAAAGAAGTATAATAATCAATCCTGTCACTACTTCTACACTATATTCATCTGCTACTAAAATACTAAAACAGTAAGTAAGTAGAGAAACTTAAGTTTCTTTCAAAAAGAATGTTTTAGGAAAAAGGCATAGCTATTTTTTTGTTGACACTTTTTTTTAACTAATCTAAAAGACTAATTTTGTGTATTGCTTAAATGTTTATTTTTTGTACTTAATTTGTTTTAGGTTTAAACAAAATTAACTTCTGGAATATCCCAAAAGAGCTAAGGAAGGTTTTAAAATTCTTAAGAAAAGTATTCAGAGCCAAAAACATAAAATAGTCTTCCTGTCCAAAATATAAATTATAAATATTTAGATATTATGAGTGATTTTTTATTCTATAAATAGAACATAATTTGCTTCTAAATCACTACCTAATGAACTATATTATAATATAATTATATATTATAGTACAAAACTAAACAAGAATATCACATTATTCATGTTTTTTTTAATTTCCTTAAAAAACGTCCCAAAAAAATGTGAATATTTATTATTGAAGTTAACATCGTTATGCTAAAACAATACTAGAACAACTTAAATAATGTGGATTTTGACTATTTTGAGTTATGCAGATCATTATGATCTAAAAAAATGTTTGTCTGGTGCTATAGTCAGGTATAAAAACATTCATTTATTTAAACACAGTTGCAATATACATTTTATTTAGTTTTTAAGTTAAAACCTATTAGGACATCCTAAAATTACTTTTTTCGTTTGATGTGAGATTAATTATTCTACATTTTTGTTGGTGAAATAGGATATATTAAGATGTCTTACTGTTTTCTCTGATTATCTAAAAAGTTAGAACAATATACAAAGACTGTTATAACAAAAAAGAGATATACCTTTACTTAAACACACAATTAGTCAGTTCAATTGTACGATAATTTAAAGCAGAAATCCAGAAAACTTTAAAAATGTGTTTAAATGTGTTTTTACTATAACAAGGACATAATTATTAAAAAAACTTGGCACATTAACATTGACAATAGGTTTTTATAATATATATTATAAAAATCACAACGAACTACACAAAATGACATTATTAATAATTTAGCAATAAAAAAGTTAAGTACAATGATGACATTAAAAGTTGAGTTTCTCGAAATACTTTTTTTAAATTGTCTTAGTAACTACATAGTATTTTTTTAGCACAATGATATTATACGAATGTGCATTGTGTGATATCTTATATTTTAAGAATAAAATTATATATTTTTTGCAGGTTTCTGTTAACAACGATTCCAAGAACTTTTGAAAATATTATTAAAACGGCATTTGCAAATATAATTCTCAATTAAGAGCTTTTGATCTAACATTAAATTTTTATTCTCCATAAGGTTATAGCTTCCTAAGAAGAAAGTTTAACAAGACTTACCAGACTCAAAATATCAAAATTTTACCAACCAATTGATGGTTCTACTGGTTTCCATAGGAAAATTCTCCTCGAAACTACTAAAAGAAAAGTGGCAGAGGCAACCGAAGAAGGCAAAAAAGTCTTTTGCAAAATAAAAACTAGAAATTTGTTTAAGAATCTAATTATTGTTTGAAGTTTTACCAATGATAATTTTTGATAACGATTTAAGATTATGAAGTTCTATTATGAATTTTACTCTTTGATAACCTATGTTTAAATTTTTATTAGGACCAAAATAAATTATAATTTTCATTTCAACTACAAAAACGCTCATAATATTAAAAAGGGGAAAAACGTTAGATTAGTTATGTTCAGGAATAAACTCTTTAAACATTTATCTACCTAACATGTGTTACTTTTAGAAGGTATGTTATTAACTTTCTATTTGTACTTGTATTAATTCATTTCATTTTATTATCTGTTGTATTTTCAAATTGATTTTGATATTAATCTTATCTATTTATATATTTTTTATACTCACATATATGTTTTTTTCATTGAAATAAACGTTTATTAGCTTATTAAATATGTTGTTTTATTATATGCTTGTATGAATGATTACTTTTATTTCCTTTTAAAAATGAATTTCGAAGATAAAGCCGAAACGGTGAGTGAAAATAAAAATTAGACGAAAGTGACGATATTTACTGGAGCTTTCATCTACACGCTCCTTTTTCTAGCCATCTACACCTGAGCCAGCAAGATTCGTCTTCCCTCCATCCTTACATTCTCCAGATTTACAGAGAAAACGCCGTCCTCTTTAACATATTCAGACCTTTGACGGGGACTATACCACTACATTATCAGCTTTATTTGTTATCTCGAGCAATTTAAATGCATTCGTAATTGCTCATTCTCATCTCTTCTCTTGTAGATTCCGTACTCAGTTTTCTTATTTTTAGTTACGTTTGCACTGCTCTTTTATTTTCACAGCTTTAATTCTATAATGCTGTAACGCTACTATATGGATCCATTTATGTGGTTTATACTATTTAATGTTATTCGTAAGTGACCAACCTATTATAATAATTAAAGATTATTGTATTACAGGCCTGAAGATGTTCCTGTAAGGCCGAAACTAGTCGCTCCTGTATTTATAATAAAATTGATTTTAAGGTTTTATTTTTCAATTGAAAAAATTAGACCTTTACAGTGATTTTGTTTCTTTTCCTGCATTAGACACACATAAGACGGTATTCATTTTAAAAATAGTAAAATTAGCAAAATTTTTTGTTTTTTTTTTACAATTAAAACATTTGGACAATGTGTGTTTTTATAGATAAATGATACGCCACTGAACAAGAAGGATGTTTACCTTCCCCCTTATGCCCGCTTCCTCACTTCCTCTACAGATGTTGCTAACACAACATTCGCCTACAAACTCGTTTCCATGCTCCCTCTATTAGTAATTGCTCGGAGGTATAGACACGCCTGACGTTAGCTGCAGGGCCTGTCACAAAACACAAGAGACAATCATGCATAGGCTCAGCCTACATCATAGATATACAGAGTGGCCCAAAAGTCTGGAAACGGCCAATTATCTCATAAATTGCTAGTCCTAATTGTACAAAATTTGGGGTACACCTATTTTGAGATACGGTGATTCTAGATTTGATATTTGCAATGTTGCCAGATTTGCCGTTTCTCTAAAATTATTAGTCTCTTTGGTTTTTCAAATTCATCATCCATCGTTAGAATGAAAATAAGGTTTGAAGATTTTGGAAGTTATCAATTTTCAATTATTGTATTTTTAAATTTTCGACAGTTCCGGCATATCTTTTATAATCATGAGTGCTTAAATACACTTACACTTTCCATCAATTTCTGGCCGTACCAACAATACATAACAATTTGACAGATTATGGTTACGAAATATGCATTGAGCGTTGCAAATTGTATACTTGTAACGGGAATCTGAAAAACATTATTTGTTATAACATTTTAAAAATAAATCGCGAATATATTTAACTTACGACCATCAATTGGAATCCCGTCATGCATATAATCAAAACGCTACAGCAAAATTGAATGAAAATGCCGTTGGAGAAGGTCCTTTCCACGTCCATAATATAACTACAACAAAAATAAGTTTTATTTTCTTTAATTTTATCAACAAACACGAAGTGTGCTGTTTTTCAGAGGAGACGTAGGCTCTATTTCAATAGTAAAGGATCCATTTGTTTATAATTTATTAATTATTAATATTTATTTGGTTGGTACCCCCAATCATAGTTAAAATTAAAGTAGGATTCCAGTATAATTATAAATACAGTAGCGACAGCTTGGGGCGCCTCCTTTGATGTCGGGGTGGTTAGATTTTTATTGACAGTTGACGTTTTTGCCGCTTATTTCTACACTGAAATAAGTAACTTTAAAATATCATGATCCTTTGTCTGTTTGAATAAAATATCACACAATAAATGAAAGATGAAAACTAAGTCTAAATCTTAGATAAAAGAGACCAGAGATATAACATACACCGGTTTTAAACCTGCGCAAATGTTGCCAATTTCTAAAGAAGGGTTAACGGAGTGGGGGAACTGGGCGGCGACACGCGGCGACCCGAACTCTGTGACAGGGACCGGACTTTGTTTATTAGCATCTTAATGAACTATTAGGTTTATTTAAAAGGTGTTTAATCGAATTTTGTATTATGAAATCAAATTATCGTGATTTTTTAATATCAAACAGATGCCACGACATTTTATGTAAAGAGAAGACCTTTTATAGAATATTTCGTTAGCGTTTATTTACTACGGACTTTTCTGCAAGAGATTACAGTAAAATGTTGAAATAGAATATATTGTTAATAGAGCAAAAAATGTTACTCATTGTCTACGAGTATTATAAAAATAGCATGTGCGCAGGCTAATACTGCAAATCTACCCTTATGAGTTGAACATTATATTTTTTCTACGGCTATTACATATTATTAAAAATTAGTCAAAATGAGAAAATGCTGTTTTGTATTGTAACCTCAGAAAAAGTATATTAAGGCTTCTTTCTTTAAGAATATTAATTATTATAAAGGATGAGTCACATAAAACTCTAGAAATGCATATGTCTGAAACCAGATAACATTTTAAAATTTAAATCTATTAAAAGTCATTTGGTCGCTAGGGATGAGTGATTATCGAAATAAATTATCGATAATTGAAAATAATCGATTATTTTCGATCAATAGATTATTTTCAAACGATATATTTTTTGTCATTTCCTCTAAAATCGACTACTTGATTATCTTTGAAAAATAAAAAATAATCGATTAATTAAAAAGCCAATTAACCGATAAATCAGTGTTTACAAAATATAATATAAATAGAATTATCGTTTATTTTAAATAATCGATTATTTTCAAATAAACCATTTTTTTTCGTCCATGGAAACAGATTATTCGATAATCTTTGAAAAATCGAAAATAATCGATTAATCAAAAATAATCAATTAATTAAAAAGTCGATTAACTGATAAATCGATTTAAAAAAAACAGAATGATCAATTATTTTAAATAATTAATTATTTTCGATCAATCGATTATTATCAATAATCTATTTTTATTGTATTTCCTTTAAAATCGTTAATTCGATTATCTTTGAAATACCGAAAATAATCGATAATTCCAAAAATAATCGCCTAATCGAAAATAATCAATTAATTAAGAAGCCGATTCTATGATATATCAATTATTACCAATAATCTATTTCATTGTATTTCAAAAATATTCGATTAATTAAAAAGTCGATTAACTGACAAATCGATTTTCAAAAAAAAACAGAATGATCGATTATTTTAAATAATCGATTATTTTCGATCAATCGATTATTATCAATAATCTATTTTTATTGTATTGCCTTTAAAATCGATAATTCGATTATCTTTGAAATATCAAAAATAATCAATAATTCCAAAATAATCGCCTAATCGAAAATAACCAATTAATTAAGAAGCCGATTCTATGATAAATCGATTTTCCAAAAAATAAAACGAATTATCTATTATTTTCTAATAATCCTTTTTTCATATTTCCTTTGAAATTGATTATTCGATTATCGAAAATAATTGATTATTAAAAAGCTGATTATCCAATAAATCGATAATTTTAAAAAAATAACCAAATATCGATTATGTAAAATAACCGATTATATTCAATCGATTATTTTCATATAATATCTTTGGAAAATCGAAAATAATCAAATAATTAAAAAACCGATTAAACGATAAATCGATTATTTTGAATAAATCTACTTTTTTTGTATTTCCTTTAAAATCGATTAATACATTATCTTAAAAAAAAACGAAAATAATTTATTAAAAACAGCGGATAAATCGATTTTCATTAAAAAATATCAGAATTATCGATAAATCGATTATTTTTGTAACCCCTATCGGTCGCTTGCTTTTATCTGAGCATTTAGCTCCAAAATTTAGAAATTCGGATTTTTTGATCCAGTTATCTTTGAAATCGCATTCGCTTGTATAATAAATAAATATTGCTAAATTTTGGATTTTTTTTAGTAAACGAAAATTATGTTCGAGTTGTTTAGGGGTTTGTAATGTAACATTTTATTAACGTGACTAAGGGTCGATTCCACCGTTGTGTTAAACGAAGTTTAAAATGACATTTTTACATTAACACTGTCATTTTAATCTCCGTTTAACACAACGGTGGAATCGGACCTAACTCCTGTAACTATAGTATTTTTTTTTGCTTATACTAGATTACTTTGTTTTAAGACTGAAAATTCAATGTCACTTTCGATTTGACCGCAAATAAGATGAACCTTGAAATTTTAAGTAGGTCATCCTGTATTTCATCTAATATTCTTATAAAAATACCTTATAAAAATAAAATTTAGCTAGCAACTATGATTTACCTCTTATTTATCTACCAAAAAGGGCTAAAAACTACCTTTAGAAAACATTCTTATAAAACTACTTTTTAAATACAAAATTTCGTTAGCAATAATGCCTATTTACTATTTATTTAAATTAAATGTTCAAAATTTTACCCTTTTGTAAATTTATGTAAGTAATATGAAATCTGAGTTTGTGATGCTTTATTGAAACCCCTTAATGCGGATCTGAAGTATTCAGCCCAGAGAATCATGGCGCTTTATGTCAAAACGTTAATAAATATTTACCGCTGAAAACGAATATATTCATAACAGTAGTACTTGTATTATAAGTACATACAATTTTTCAAGATACATAGTGACATTTTGAACTTGAAATTGAATAACTAGAACACTTTAAATTGCTAAAATACCAACAAATAAATCAAAAAACAGCTGTCAATGGTGATTAAACTCAGGTGGAGGTGTTATCGCTGAATGGAAATCGGAGCAATTCGGGTGGCGTCGTGCAACAATGATTTTCAATTGGTGGGTTACTTTGGCTTAAAATAGACAACATGCGCAGTGTGCAATGTTACATCTTCGGTCTCTTTAATCTAAGGTCTAAATATAATAAAAATGTATTAAAATGTGCATTACAACCAATCAGATAATCAAAACAATCAACTAACATTAATCCATTGCCAATTCACATATGCCAGTTTAACGTATTTGCCGCTTATTTACGGACATGCGCAGAAAAATATGGAACCATCATAAACAATGAACTGTCGCTACTGTATTATTACTTATACAGGAATGAAATTAATTCCAGGCTGGTATCTGTAAGGGGGGTCGCGACATAGCCTCCTTCTTTGACGCAATTTTTTTTATAAATGACGATGCAGAACATTTATTATAGGCCTTTTTAAATTGTTGGTAGGTGGATATTGAGTAATATCTTGTGATTTGTTTTCTATACGTTTAAGCAAATATTTTTTAGCTACATCTTACAAAGGATGGCTTTGAAATACCTTTACAACAGAGGTACTTTCCCAAAGCCGAGCGGCCACAAGTAATCCAGACCCCATCACAAGCAAGGAACTGCAGGAGGCGGTAGAGAAATTAAAAACCGGTAAGGCCCCAGGACCGGATGGAATCCTAGCAGAAAGTGTTAAGATTATAGTAAAGGAGGTACCTCACATCATGCACGCAGTAGCAAATGACATTCTTAAGACTGCAGAAATACCAAGCATGTGGAAGTTGGTGAAAGTTTGTCTAATCCCCAGGGGCAGCCCAGAGTTGGAAAAGTTTAGACCAATATGCCTTATCGACACATCGACGAAACTCCTCGAACACCTCATTAAACAAAGACTGGAAAGCGAACTGAAAGAGAGACACCTGATCTCAGAAAATCAGTTTGGATTTAGGAAGGGCAGGTCCACTATCGATGCCATAAAGAAAGTCATTCAGCAGGTGAATAATACAGAGTTTAAATTGGGTGTAATAGCGTTTGTCGATGTAAGGAATGCTTTTAATACTGCGAAATGGAGTCAAGTTGTCCAAACAATGGAGGACATGGAAGTAAGCGAATACTTAATAAACCTAGTCAAAAACCATTTCTGTGACAGAAGAATTTTGATGGGGAAGGAAGAGATCCAGGTGTCCCAGGGGGTTCCACAAGGCTCAGTTCTTGGGCCTTTATTGTAGAACATACTTTACAATGGGGTCTTAGAATTAGACCTAGAAGAGAACTGTAGCCAGATAGCATATGCGGATGATCTGGCGATAGTGTTCAACGCGATGGATAAAGAAGAGCTCATGTTCCGAGTAGACAGGGCCCTCTGCAAGGTGAGGAATTGGTTGGAGGGCAGGGGACTGCAGATTGCACCTGAAAAAACGGAGTCTCTCATTGTCAGAGGTCCAAGGAATAGGGAGGGCATTGTTTTTAATCTTGACGGCTCGGAGATAGTACCAAAGAAATCGCTGAAATACCTGGGAGTGCACCTAGACGACAAACTCATCTACAACCAGCATGTAAAGCAGGTGTGTGCAAAGGCGAGCAGACAGGTGGCTGAACTGACGAGGATCCCCCAAATGTAAGGGGGCCAGGGTACCACAGCAGGAGGCTACTGTATGGAGTGGTTGCCTCGGTAACGCTCTACGCCGCACCAGTATGGGGACAGGTACTGTCAATTATAAAGTACAGGGACATGTTGATATCGTTGCAAAGAAGAATGGTCATCCGGGTCGCCAGTGCCTACAGAACGGTGTCCGCAGAGGCAGTGTCAGTGATTGCGGTGATACCACCCCTGGACGAGATGGTAAGAGAAAGATGCAGTTTGCCTCTGCAGGAAAAAATTACTGATGTTGTGAGGAAAGAAACCAGAGAGGCCACAATAGCAAGATGGCAGACTGGATGGGAGCAATAGTAGCGCAGTGGACCAAAGGGTTGATACCAAACGTGAATAAATGGCTAGCATATAGGAGTACCAACTTATGTCACACAGGTTCTATCCGGGCATGGGAGTTTCAAGGAGTACACCCGAAGAATTGGTAAGACTGCATCGGAAGACTGCGACTATTCCGGCGATAGAGACGATGTAGATCACACGATCTCAGCTTGTCCTAGATGGGAGGTACCGAAACTGGCTTTAGAGGCAATGATGGGGAAAGAGTGAATGTTGAACGAGTGATGAGATGGAAGGTGACAAACAAAAGAAACTGGGAGAATGGAGAAAAATTTATTAAAATTATAATGGAAAAGAAAACGGAAGAGGAAAAGAGGAGAAGATAGACATCACCTACTGCCCGACGTTATGTCTTTTTACCCAAAAAATTCTTGTTTCTATCACTTTTCTGTGGAATTGTTTATTTAAGGTTATGTTTTTTCCAATAATAAAAATGTCTAGAATTTATACTGTATGTCCTGAATTTTTATTAGCCTCGTCCAGACAAATTAAAAAACAAAGTTGGCAACCCTAACCGCTACCCTTTACTATTGAAATAGAATCTAAAACCGTCAGCTTATGTCTATATTGGTTCTAAATCATTGTTAAAAACCTGTTAATGTCATTGTAATGGATTACACAAGCCTTCAAATTTCTTAATACCACCGCATCGTCAACCTCTTTTTCTCCAGCTGGTACAGATTCCCTAAACTTCTTTTTTAGATTCTCAAACTGACCCACAGCCACCATAACAAACTTTATCGTGAGAATATCGAAGTTTGAATTCGTAAAAGCTTCTGATCCAATAGCCATAGTGGTAAGAAACCAAATGAAGTAGTAAGACTTTTCCATTTCGAAAGGAATCCACAATCTCAAAGGTAAACGCTTGGTTCCTGCTGAGCCGCTGTCGAGTAGAGGAAATAATGCGTAGAAGATTGTAGCGAATACAGCTGCGCCACGAAAAATAATTCCGACCAATCTGAATCCATTAATGTTATCTGCAATAACCTGTCGCTCTTCCGTAGTGACATCGCATAAAGTCGGTTTTCGTAGGTGCTTCTCCACCAGCAGAAGGACATCCTTTTTGATAATGAAATTAAACAGCTTGAACATGAATGCTGTTTGTGTGGTGGAAAATAACAACGTTTCTGATATGTCGATGAGTTCGGCTTTTACAAGGAATAAAAATAGTAGCATCAGAATCCATTCTAGGAGATTGAGTGTGGTGATGAAAATTGCGTTGATCCTGTTCAAAATGCCAACTTTTTTATTTGGGTAGAAGCCTTCTTGGGTTAGGAAAACAATTTCAGTTTCTAAAAATTCGAGTAAGTTCACAATCTGAAAAAAATAAAATTGATATACTCTATGTCATTACTATCCTCGCACGCAGAGATAAGGGACCTTATCTCTGCTCGCACGCATATAAGAAGTATAATATACAGGGTCATTCTCAGTTGTTATAAAATTATCGATTGATAGGTATTTTGCCTAGTTTCTCTAATGTATTTAAAATAGTTGGGTAAAAAAGTTTAAAATTTTTAGTGTTAACCAACAGGATTATTTAAGCAGAAAATCTACACAAACAACAATACTTATTTCAATTTACACATGTTAAAAAATCAGCCTGTATTTAAAAAAATTTGAATGTTTTTGTCAAAAAAATATAATTTGTATTGTCAATAAACTCTTCCGTTAAAATGGAGAATAATTCATTTTTCCAAAAGAAGTTTCCGTGTCCAATACTTAACAACACAAAATATATTTGAGGAAAAATATCTGACTCATGGTTTTTTTCTTGATCTATCGAAGGCAATTGGATCAATATGACTTAAGGGGAAACTATTTGAAATGGACATCAAAGAGTTCGCATTATCTATGATTTACAAAAAACCAAATCATATACAGGGTAATTTAAAATTGAGTGAAAAGATTTTAGACACATTTATTAGCCAAAAATAAGAAACAAATTTCATATAATCGTATGTTCTAACTTGCTTCGTTTTCTAGATACAGTTTTTTTAAAAATCGGTATTTTTATCAATTACTCAAAAACCTTTAAGCCGATTTAAATAAAATTTGGTAGAATTATTTGTCCTTTGGTGAGAATGAAATAAATTAATTAATTCCAGTAACGTCTCAGGGGCCTACCTTATTGATACTTATAGGAAAAATTATGTTACGACACTGCTTTTTTGAAAATTTTTTTTTAGATTAATCCGTCAATAATGTAACTTTCTTGCCTCTTGAGCTTAACTCGTATCCAGGAACGGTTTTTCCATTGGTTCATTTGTGCAGTGAACACCCAATTACATTTAAAAAAAAAAACACATTATTTTAAAATAAATAACATAAATATTAATTGAATTTTAATAATTTTATTGTTTTCATACGTGTTTTAGGGTACGCCACTGCGCTCTGGGTAATCGCGTTTCCGTAGCTCTCTTTTATAAGTGAGCCCGAAGAAGTGAGAAGCGTTCTTAAAAGTCTTTAGCTAAAAAGATCCCTGAAACGTAGTGAAACAATCATAAAATCACTTAAATCAGTTTAATTTGCGCAACCCACACAGTGACGTCATAAAGTAGGGCGGGGCATACGAACTTTCCAATAATTGATACAAAATGAAAAGGGGATGCTACGACGATACTAAAAGTGTTTACGTCATATACGTCAAACTCGAGCCAGTTGCGCATCCAGAGTTTAAGTTTGGGAGGGGGGTAGTGAAAATATTGACTTTATTTCTGATATAATTTAAAAACAAAACAAACAAAAAACACATAATACAAGTAAATTTAAAAAGAAAAAATTTTACATGTATAATAAATATTAAACACATTTTAAAACATTAATAACACGAAAGCTTATAAATGAAAACATAACAAAAACAAACAAAAATATTTTCTTGGGCATAACATACTCGCATGACCAGAAAACATGAAATGAAAAAAATTATAACGTAAAATCAAGTCGTCTATTTTTATTATTTGCAAAGCTATTTATAATATGGTCTACATTTACTTGACATGTCTGTGTATAAACAGAAGTGATAGCCCAACTAATGGTGAGGATTCTACAAATCTAGCAATAAGCAGTGGAGTACCTCAAGGATCAGTATTAGGTCCAATTTTGTTTTTATTATTCATCAACGACATCACAGACTTAAGAATAAGTGGTAGAATTACTTTATTTGCTGATGACACCAGTGTAACCTGGAATAATTCTAACATGCAGACATTACAATCTATCATAAGTGAAGATCTAGTGACTATTAAGTCCTGGTCTGATTCGAATGGACTTTGTTTCAACACCAGTAAAACTGTAGCATTGTCTTACAGAGGTACTTTACAACCTATAACTTTAAACAATAATCTGATCCAAACGGTGACTTTAATCAAGTTTTTAGGTCTTTATATAGACGATTCTCTAAAATGGTCTGCTCATATAGATACCTTAGCAAAAAAATTATCCTCCGCATGTTTTGCCATTAAATCGGTTTTTAAAGAGCTGACTCCTTCTACTGCATTAATAACCTACTTTTCCTTATTCGAATCTCACCTTCGCTATGGTTTACCTTTCTGGGGTTCTTGTAGCTTATACCTTTTCGAATCTATTTTTAAACTGCAAAAAAGAGCAATCCGCTATGTATTTGGTTTAAGTAGTAGGACACATTGCGAAAATTACTTCAAAAATTTCAAAATTCTAACCCTTCCTGCTCTATTTATTTTCGAATCCGTCTGCTTAGTTCGCAAGCACATTCAAAATTTATCCGAAAGACCGACTCGTAGATATCCTACAAGAAATTTAGAGACTGATGTTTATTTAACAATGCCCACTTCTGACCTATTAAAACATTCCATTACCTACAATGCCAAAAAATTGTATAATAACCTTCCGATGCAATTAAAATCTATAAATACATACGATAAGTTCCGAAGACTGGCTAAAGCTTTTCTTCTAGAAAGACCATATTACACAGTAGCAGAATTTTATAACGTACCTTAGACATTTGAGTTCCACATACAATGGCATTAATTAAATAATTAAATATTAAAGTTTAAATTTAAAAATTTAATTAGAATAATTATAATGACGGATATTGCATATCCATTGCAATTGTTATTCCTATTTTGTCTGTTTGTTTCTGTTTGTTTTTTCTGCTGTTTAGTTATTTTTATAATATGTTTAGTATTTAAGTTACACGCTTTGTCTATAAAATTTTTGTAATTTTTTTTACGACAATAAAGCATCTCTCTCTCTCTCTCTCTAATCTATCCTGACCCATTGTTGAACGAAGTCAGGTTTTAAGGCGCCGCAGAGAGGAGAAGCTTCTTTCAACTGAAGCTACACTAACGGGTAGAGTGACCAAAACATGCATTTTTTTAATAAAGGAAATATATTTTCATCGCAAGACGAATATAAACTGATACCATCTGTATCGCTTTTTTTACGCTTTTCCAAATACTGAATTCAGATTTTAATTTTAAAAGTATTAAATCTCTGTTTTGGTTATTTTCAAATTTGCTTATATATTCCGCAACTACTTCAATCGACTGACTAATTTCAGTATCCGTTTTTGAATTGAAAATGGAAGGAAAAAATATATTGAACTCGTAGGTATTCAAAGATTCCTCGTTAAAACGAAATTGGAGATCTTACAATATATTATCTAACAAAGGAATATAGATGCTAAGTCTAAAATAAGATTCGTTATTTTCTGCAGATATATTGGGGCGATGCGTTTGTCTCTAAGTAACTATAGGTTTGATAATTTCTAAATCTAATTTTTGTAAGTTTCGTGTCGCCGTAGCCCTTGATGTTTTAATAATAAAATAATTAGCCTCCTTTTAAAAACAATGTGTTAAATATTTTTGTTAAAACTAATAGTGGCGGACAATGTAAGTTGTCAGGTTGAAGTAAAAACTGTTAATACTACAAATTTTAAAAAACATTTACTGAGAAGACATTCAACTATTTTCTTTCCACCACATTTGTAGATAAGTTATTACATAAACGTAAATATTCATTTTTTTATATTTATAGTTATATTTTCGTGTTATCAGTAGCTACTATTTTTTTTATGTAGTTAGGAGTATCTAAAATAATTGGTTTGTTTTATCTTTTGATTATGATGTAAGCCGCACAATTGTGCTGTGTACTTTGTGCGTTATTTTATATTGATCTTGTACATAATTATTTTTAAAATGGTGAATAAATGTTTTAAATAAAAAAAATAATATGATGTCTGTTCTTCAATTTATTTACTACCTGTCAAACTGTCAAGCCCTAATAAAGTGGGAATAACTGAAATAACTACTAAAAATCTCGGATCGTTAAAGTATCGATATTTCGAGTATCGATACATCAACATTCGATATTTTACTGTATCAATACTTTACGTTCCGATCCGTATCGATACCTGATATCGATACTTTTAAGTGTATCGCGCATCCCTATGCAATCTGACCAATCAGAAATCTACAGAATTGCCAACTTAAATTCAAATCGCTCCTCTTAGTTTAAAAATAGAGTATAGGTATAGATGATATACAGGGTGTCCCGAAATTAGACGGTCATATTTTAACAGCGTAATCTACATCCTAAAATAGTAGTAGTAAAAGTTCATATAAACATAGGTCCGAAAACGTTTCTTTTCCGAGATACAGGGTGTTAAAGGTGAAGTCCTGATACCACACTTTTGTAAATATTTTCTAAACGTTTAAAGATAATTAGGTAAAATTTGTTACAAATACTTACCTTTTTACGCTTCATTTATTGGACTAAATCCCAGTTATTGATCATCTTCTTAGGTGGGTAAATTAGGGGGAGCTTAGGGTAAAATTGCCGTGTGTATCTGTATGTCTATATCCACCATAACTCATGAATCGATACACAGAAAAACACTAAATTTTAAACTTAAGTTTTATTTCGGCCTGACGTGAAATAAATAGATTTTGGACAAAGTCGGAACATCTGGGGGGTACTTTATGGGAGGCCGTTTCTATATTTTATTGAATATATCTGTTATTTATGTTTGGAGAAGAAAATTATTCAAATAAAAGTTACTTCTAATATTATTATCTATAATTTTTGTTTTATGTCAAAATTTCCTGAAATGGTCCATATTCGAGAAATTTGACAAAATGTGCAAAATTCTAAACTAAACTAAAAGTTGTTTGCGATATCGATCTCTATAATTTTTGTTTATACATGATTTTTCTAAAATGGACCGTAATGGAAAAATTGTAGAAAAATTGCTAAATTTAAATTTTTCAGTATTTTCGTTTTCAATGAATAACTATAGAAATATTTCTAGGTAGATAGATGTATGTGGAAAATGTATA